CCACGCACCCAGGGACAATGACTGACCGTTCGGCCCCCTCACTCTGATACAATCCTTCCAAAACCTGCCCGTGGGAGGACATGCCCGACCCAGGGCTCGTGGCGGGCGCCCCCCTTCCCAGAGGCCCTCCTCGGCCCGTGCTCCGCCGCGGGATCCTCGCGTGCCCCGCCCGGCAGGGGCAGCGTCAGGGGGGGGGGGGGGGGGGCAGTCCAGTGGAGACCCGCGCCGAGGAGCACCCTGCCTGCCTCCAGGGTGCCCTGGGTGTCTTGGGTTCCGCCAGTTTCTCTGTGGACACCGTGACGTTCCCACGCCAGAAATCAGTGGACGGCCTGGGGTCTCTCAGGGTTGGGTTCCTTGTGGAAAGTTTCTTGTGGACTGGCCTCCACTGTAGGCTCGGGGGGCGATTCACCCACCCCCCAATCGCCCAGTCGTCGCCGATCGCCCAATCGTCGCCAATCGCCGTTAGCCGTCCCCCCGAGGAGGAAGAGGAGGAGGAGGAGGAGGAGGAGGAGGAGGAGGAGGGAACGGGTGGAGGAGGAGGAGGAGGAGGAGGAGGAGGGGGGAAGGTGGAAGGAGGTGGACGGACAAAGGAGGTAGGAGGAGAGGAGGAGGAGGTAGGAGGTGGAGGAGGAGGAGGAGGAGGAGGAGGAGGAGGAGGAGGAGGCACCCACCCCCCAATCGCCCAGTCGTCGCCGATGGGGGCCTAAGGGTCCACACCGCCCAGGAGAGTGCGGATCTGCCGTCGGGGGCCTGTCGCCGATCTACCTGCGATGCATCGCCGACTCAAGCTCGATGTTCCCCTCCCTGAGCTGGTCCCCCCGTCACGTTAACCCTCATCCCTCGAATAGGGGATCGACTACATAATCGACTTGGCCCCACATTTATTGGGGGGGGTACCTTTCGAGGAGGCCGACAGGCACCCTCCGCACGCCACGCTGCCCCCGCCGAGACCGCCGGAGACGCATCCGAAGAGGTCCGACGCCTCCTGCCGCCGCCGCCTGGTCTCCTCCTCCTCTCCCTCCTCCTCTTTTTCCTCCTCCTCCTCCTCCTTCTCCTTCCTCTCCTCTCCTCCTCCTCCTCCTCCTCCTCCTCCTCCTCCTCCTCCTCCTCCCTCTCCGTCGAGCAATTTGGACCCCCGCCCCGACCAGCCGTGAGAGGGCGGTCTTTTGCCCAGACTCCGCGGAACCCTCCAGGACAACTCAAAGCAGACCCCCCCAGATGTGACCCCCCCCCGCACTTTGTTTTAGGATCCAGAGTGGCCGGCTCTGGGGTCTGTGTGGCCCCAGCCACATCAGAAAGCCACGCACTGGCCAGCGAGCTCGGATTTGGCTCCCTCGCGGCCCCCGAAAGCCGCGCACCAGAGGTCACTCTTGCCCAGGGTCGATGTTGCATGTATCCGAGGGGGCCAGCCCTGATTCTGCGCGCGGGGTCCTGCACGCGGTTCTACGAGGCGGCGGCTTATCCATGACCACCGCCTGGGGCGTCGATCTTTGGGACCTCGGCAGGCGGTGGATATGGATATGTTCGGGCCCTGGGAGGGCCAAACTTATCCAGACCCTCCCCCCGCCGAGGCCCCCGAAGGTCGATCCACCGGCGATGGCTGCGGGACACGTCCCCGCAATCGCACGTTCGGCGTCGGCTCCCGGCGCAATGGGCCACGTGGTGTCCATACCCGTGCTCTTCGTCTCCGGCCTGACCGTGGTGTGCGCGTTCCCCATGGTCCCTGCCCGCCCCCCGCTGCTCCGCGCGCCTCCCATCCGCGCCGAGCTGGGGCCCTCCTCCACCTCCTCCTCCTCCTCCGACCTCAGCCTCATGAATCCGCCGTCCGGCCGCCTACATCCGCCTCCGCCCACGCGCCGCCTCAATCGCACTCCTCTCCTCCTCCTCCTTCCTCCTCCCTCATCCTCCTCCTCTCTCCTCCTCCGCTCCCTCTCCTCTAGCTCCTCCTCCTCCTCCTCCTCCTCCTCCTCCTCCTCCTCCTATTCCTCCTCACCCTCCGCAGCATCGCGCGGCGGAGGCGTGTTGGAGCCGCGGGGCGCAGGGCGAGCGGAGCCCCCCGCGGGTCCTCGGAGTGGTGCCCTGGGCGCCGGTGCCTGGGACTCCTGGGCGAGCCTGCTTCCGGCCGCGTCGCCTCCGGCCCCTGTCCGCGGCGTACCTTTTCCCGTGCAAGCTCTTCGGCACCGCCTGCACCCCGGGCCCCGCCCACTCCGGCCGCCTGAGGCCCCGCCTGCCTGTGCCCTGTCTCCCTAATTAAAGCTGCGCGTAGCCCGCCTAGCTTTTAGCGGAAGAGGTTCGCTCTCGCCCCGCCGACCAAAAACTGCTTCTGGCCGCGCGAGTTAAGTTGGGCGTGTCCCCCTGCAGGGTGATTTTGGGCGAAAAATGAAACAATGGTCAAAACATACCCCCCAGATGGACAAAGATGGTCATCAAGTCGTCCCCAGACTATGCTTGGACTATTTCTGTCTATGCCTTCTGTGGAGGGGCAGGCCCGACTGCACGC